GGACACTGATGGGATAAAGCCCCGGGGGAGAGGGGAGGCCTGTACTGCTTGGCTATGGAGGCCTGGACAGCTTGGCTGCCATCCCCCATTTTGTTTTGCTTCATTAGAAGTTGTGGGCTTGTTGCCAGGGAGGGGCACTGAAGCATGAGGTCTGAGGGTAAGAGGGGCAGCCTGTGGAGCAAAAATGCTCTAATCTACCCCTGTCCCTCCCAAGGAGGCCGACAGAGCAGAACTGGGGGAGCACCTGGTTCCTGGCAAGGTGTTCTGTGGCTTCAGGTACCAGTGATGGGGAGAGAGACTGAATGGCAGACACCTATGGGTGCAAAGTAGTTGAGCATTTCATGAGTTTGGATTTAAAAATTGGTTGAATTCTTTGTCTGTGGAACTGTCAGCTTCAATTACCTTAAAGCCTCCCAAACTTTGAGAGTGGTCCCTTCAGGTCTCCAAACTGTAGAAATCTCTCTCTTGATAATCCCTCCACCTCCACCCTCACCTCCTTCACTTACTGAAGGCAACACCATTCATTGTTGCAGCACCTTCTTGTCCCTTTGCTCAAGTCGGCTTGGCTTTGCCTGCCTGACAGGTCTCCTTTCCAAAGATACCACCAGCTCAGCTCAACTCAACCTTTCCAGACGATGACTGTATCCTATTAAGCATTGGGCTACTAACCATAGGTCAGTGGTTCAAATCCATCAGCCGCTCCATGGGAAAAGGATGAGGCTGTGTGTTCCATAAAGCTGTACAGCCTTAGCAAGCCTAAGGAGCAGTCTCCGTCCTTTGCCGTGGTTGGTACGTGCTGTCCAGTCGGTTCTGAGTCACTATGACCCTGTATAGGGTTTCCTAGGAGCAGCCACGACTCGATGGCAGTGGGTTCAGTATTATTACCATGCTCAGGCATCTTCAATAGCTCCCCATTATCAACAGGATAAAATTCAAGTTCCTTATTTAGTTATTTGAATCCCTCCATAATCTGGCTCTGGAGTCCTGGTGTGGCATTCAACTGCAAGGTCTGTTTGAACCAAAAGGTTGGTAGTTCAAACTCTGCAGCCACTCCTCAGAAGCCCTCTAAGGGTCACTAAGGGCTAGAACCAACTCGACAGCACTTAATGACACCAACAACATGATCTGTCTCTAGCACCTTCCTCATAGCAACGGGAATTTATTGGCACTTCCTTTACATAGACACTGTGTAGGCTCTTTGGAGCCCAGGTAGCACCATGGTTGAAGCAGCAGACTGCTAAATGAAAGGTTGATGGTTTGAACCTACCAGCTGATCCATGGGAGAGGCATGTGGCAGTCTCTTTCTGTGGAAACTTAGTCTTAGAAACCCAGTGGAGCAGTTCTGCTCTGTCCTTCAGAGTCACTAAGAGTGGAAATCAGCTGGACCGCCATGGGTTTGGTTTGGGTTTCCAGAACAGAACTTTTCTTTGCTGTCATCTGCCTTGGCCTTTTGAGAGTCCAGGAAACTACTGTTTTAAAACGTATTTGTGTTCTTCTCAAGGACCCCTGATGGGACTGTGCGTTAGGCCTTGGGCTATTAACCATAAAGTCAGTGGTTCAAACCCACCAGCCACTCTGTAGGAGAAAGCTGAGACTGGGTGTGCCTGTAAAGATTTACAGTTTGGAAACCTCATACAAGCTCATCAGAACTGACTCGATGGAGGTGGGTTTGGATTTATTTTATTAATGTGTTCTCACATGAGTTTTAAAATGCACTTATGAAAAAATAATAAACGTTTGTCAAAATGCAATAAAATATTTTTAAAAAAGAAGAAAAGATGTACTACCTTGGAAACGCTACAGAGCAGTTCTACACTGTCCTATAGGGTAGTTATCATTGGGGTTGGTTTGGTGAATATGAGCATTTTCAATGTAAATGTAAGTATAAAGTATAAATGCATTGTTTCATCCAGGTCTCTCTTTCACTGTCCTTCAAGCACACCTCACCATTCCTACACCCATTCTTATACTTAGCAATTCTTTCTAGAATGCTCTTACCTTTTTATTCAGCCAACTCAAGTTGTCCATGAAACAGCTCAGAGATCTCTGTCCTGAAATTCTCAAATGCATCTAGTCAGATTCTCTCATTGACATTTAAGAAATTACCTTGTACAGTGACTTAATTTGTCTTTAAAATGGGTCTCGGGCCAGCCTGAGACCTCCTGGTAACAAGTACTGTTCTTTGCTCATTTGTTAAAGGAATGTTGAACCAAAATTGGGATGCTCATCCTCTGGAACCTGTGCAAAAGTCAATTCAGCAATATCCGAATTCATGTTTTTTGAAAGACTCAGTATGGAATTAGCCCTATTTCCTAAATCCCTAGTGGCAAGCAGAGATAAACTTGGGCTTTTATTGTATCAGTCCCTTAAAAATACTTCCCTTCCACCTCCCTCTAAAAAAATGAATGCAAATCAGACACCACATGCTGGACGTTAATTACAGACAGACAGAGCCTCTCTGGTGTACACTGACCACAAAGATAATTAACTGCCTAATAACACCAGGTCCTTGGCCCTGCAGAATTTACTCCCTAAGAGATCCACTTAGGAGACAAAGTCCTTTGGTTTGGGCAGAGTGTCTGCTGCTCTTAGGATGGGCGATGGGCCCACTGTTCCTTTAAGAGGTTTTAGTAGGCTTCTAGGTTGTGACAAAGCAGGCTTTAAAACCTGGAAAGCTCAAGGGAGGCACCAGAGTGAGATAGACAGTAAACCTTTTGGGAAATACATTGTTGGAGCCTGAGAAACAAGTGAGGCTGAGCCCCAGAAAAGCTTGCCCTCAGAGAAGTCTAGATGGTGTTCTGCTGCAGCAGGGACCTCTCTAAACCATCCCTTCTAAGCAGCCAGTTGGTGGCTATGTCCCACAGACACATTTTGCTTAGCTTGCAGTGTGTACTTTGTGGTGGGTGTTTGACATTGGAATTAGTTACCAACACTTAAATTTTAGATTTCATAGAATAATCTGGATTTCTGGCTTCTCTTTCAAACAGAGAATCTGGCCATGCTGGATCTTCCTTCCACCAGGGCCACGTGCTCCCCACCAGGTTGATGAACATCTTTTTTGTCTCTACCTATTGTTGTTGTTAAGTACCACTGAGTTGGTACCAACTCATAACGACCCTGTATAGGGATTCCAAGGAGCAGCCGGTGGGTTTGAATTGCCAACCTTGTGGATAGCAGTCCAGTGCTTTTTGTACAGTACCACACCAGGAGTCTAGCCCCTGCTTAAGGAGTCCAGGTGGCACAGTGGATTAAGCACTGGGTTGCTAACCAAAGGAGTCATTAGTTTGAACCCAACAAGCCACTCCATGGGAGAAAGATGAAGCAGTTTGTTTCTGTAAAGATTTACAACTAAAACTTTGCAGATTGTAAATACAGCTCTTCCAGGTGTGTGGAGAGGGTGGACTAGGGCTCTGAGAACCCACAGTGTGACAAAGACCAGGCATTGTTCAGTTATCAAGTCAACACTGATCTCTGGACCTCTTGTCACCTGACTGCTCTGGAAGGAAGGGCACAGAGAACCCACAGCAGCAACAGACAGGTGCCGTGCTCTGGCTGAGGTGAACTGTAGCTAACATTTACTGAGCATTTTCTCCATAGGAGAGATACTCAGCTCCATTCTGGGATGAAGACACTGAGGAATACTGCCACACAGCTAGTGACAGAGCTGGCTGGCCTACTCTAGAGCCTCGCCACTTAACTAAGGCACTTCTATGTGTTAGTAGCTCTAGGAGGTTAGTTAGTAACCCTAGGAGGTTAGTAACTTGAAGAGGTTCTTTAGCAGGAGCTCTGGTAGCGTAGTGGTTATGAGTCGGATTGCTAACCTCAAGGTCAGCAGTTTGAAACTACCAGCTGTTCTGTGGGAGGAAGATGAGGCTTTTTGCTCCCTTAAAGATTTGCAGCCATGGAAAGCCAGTGCCGGGTCACTATGAGTGGGAACTCCATGGCACACCACCACCACCACAGGGCCTTTCAGGTGGGCAATTCCATGGGGAATTCACTTAAGTGCCTAAGTGCCATGGAGAGGGTTTCAACTCCTAACAACTCAGTAGGGTTTCCGAGGAGGAGGAGCAGCTGGTGAATTTGAATGAGGACTTTGGGTTAGCAGTCCAGTGCTAACCACCACAGCAGGACACCCGGGTAGGGAGGGGTTCAGTAGTAGTTAAAATATATATACATATATATATATTTGAAAAAAAAAATGTTTGAACTACAATAGTAACTCAAAAGGTTAGATAGGAAGGTTGGGGCAGTGAGCTTGTGTTAATTAATGGGGAAGGAACAACTCAGAAAAGAAGGCTGAGAATGTGCAGTTAGAAAACTCAAAGCCAAGGACCTTCCTTCCACCCAAATTCAATAATCAATGGCACCAAATTATACATGCAGAAATGGTGGCATTGGTTTATGTCATGCTGCATGTATTCTCCACAACAACAAAATGTTTCAATGTTCAAATCATCTAGCACAGCGGTGATGATTTTCCCAAACGGAAGTGAAATACCTTGATTTTTGTAATGGATGATGGGATGAGGTAGGTGTGCCTTGGGAAGGCTGAAACTTGAGGGTGCTAGGGTAAGCCCAAGAGTTCCTGAGACCTCTGAGAGAAGCTACTTACTAGAGACTGCCACTCTGTCCCTCTGAATGTACTGGAAGGAAGGAAGGATGCAGATGATTTCAGGTGTGTTTGAAGGATATGTAAATTCACATTGCCCTAGTCTTTACTTATAATTGCTTTCCAAGGTTTTGGAAATAAGTTCTTCAGCTGGTTCTACAATTCCTTTCTCTGCTACTAACTCTCCTCCTCTCCCTAATCCCACCCCACCTAAGTGTAATACCAGGTTTTGAGCTCTGGGAGAGGAGTGGCAATAATAAAGTCAGTTGGGAATTTAGGAGGTCTTGGATGTTGGAAAGAAAAGCGTAAAAAGGGGGAGGAAGAATTGGTTTTGCTTTGAGCACACTGGACACCTCCATGGTTCTGCAAAACCATTTGCAGCTTTTGCAGCCTTGTAGTCATCAGCGCCTCACTGCGGAATTCAAAGCTAAGCTTGTCACATTTGTTAACACCTTCTTTGACCAGCTTTTTTATATTTGACAATTACTCTCTTTCGCCTTTTTCTTGCCGGCAGGAAAGTTTTGCGGTCTTGGTTTTAGCGAGTACCATGTACAACGAACACCCCTTTAGTGTGCTTAAGTTGGGGGAAGAATTCTATCGGCTCGGGTTTGCAGGGTGAGTCGGTTTCAAGGCTTAGCGGGGAACTGACTGGGAGGAGGGGAATCGAAGGGAGACCGGACAATTTTGGAAGTATCCAAGAGTAAACTTGAGAGTTCACAGAGCTTCGGGTTCTAAGTTGGGCACAATGACCGCCTCACACTCCTCATCACTCCGGTCAACTGGGCCCTGGGGCTAACACGGAGCAGCTCAGCCTGCCGCCCTTTGGGGAAATCCAGTTTCCGAGACAGTTTAGGACGCACTGGCTGCGCGTGCCTGGGATCTGGAGGAGACGCGTCCACACGGGTCCCGGACTCCGCAGGTTGCAGGACTCTCCTACCGACTTAGCGGGGAAGTGGGTGCTCCCTCGTAGTCCTCGAGGGAGTCCGCCCACTCTTCCCAACTTTCCCGGCCCCAAGGCCGGAGGAGGGCGCCTCTCTCGGCGAGGACGCGCTCGGTACTTAAAGGCTGCACGGCAGGGCCAGCTCTCGTCAGTCGGAACGCGCGGCGGCGTTGGCGAGGGCGCGGGAGGAGGAGCATGGAGCCACCGCGGGCCTGCTGAGCACCGGAGCGCGGCAGCCGGCGGCACGGTGAGCGCGGGGCGGGAGCCGGCACCTGGGAGGACGGGCTGCGCGGGGAACCCGGGAGGGGACCGCTTCAAGGTTGTCTCTGGCTCAGCCCCCGGACCCAACCGGCTTCACCAGCCTCGCGGGCACCGCGTTCAGACGGAGGTGGGCTGCGGCATCTCAGCTTCCCGGTGGCGGATCCTGCAGCCCCTCTTCACTGACCCCTCCTCCCTTTCTTTCTTCAGCCTCTCCTCCTTTCCTCCCTTCCGGCTCCAGTTTAGTGAATGAATCAGGAGGCTGAGGGTGATACTAGGCACAGGGCTGGTTGGAGTGCCCCCCACCTTCCTGGGGGCTCGTACTTGTCCGGACACCAAGGTCTCTGGCATCCCGGTTCCTGTGGATCAGCCGGACCACGAGTGTCCGGGCCCCGCCGGCCACCGCCGCACGTGTTCGCGGGACTGGGCGCCCCTTCTCTTGCCGGCTCAGAGGGACCAGAGAGTGCCCAGGCGCGAAGGAAGGAGCCTCCTCCCCGCGCACAAGTTTCCTTCTCGCCGCGTGTGGGCCCCGCAGCAGGGCGCACCTGTCAACTGGAGAGGGCTGCAAAGCAAGCCGCCTTACAAAGTTCCGCGTGCGTCCTTCACTGGGGGGCTTCTTCCTCCATCGTCCGTGGGCAGGCCTTGAAGAGCGCCCCCAACCTCATGCCCTTGAGGTGCGCGTTAGCCTGCGTGGACCGGGCTCGGGTGGATTTCTTCGCGGTGCGAAGGCAGGAGGGAGAGAGGCGATTTAAACTGTTGGGAGCCCCCTTCACCGGCTTGGGGTGCTCGGCCTAGTGACGGGGCAGGGGCACAGGAACCTCAGTGGGGGGCTGCACGAACCCCTGATTGTACGTGGGGTCTCCGGTCCTCTGTGGGGAGAGAGTGCCGGGATAGTGCCTCCAATTCCTTCGGGGAAGGAAAGGACTGGCGACACCGGGATGCTGTCTTTGTCTGCAGGCACACTTTACCTGGTAGCGGGGGGCTCAGGGAGGTGAAAGGGGGGGAGGGCGGAGGAGGGGCTGGTCCCACCGCGATTCCTTGGGTTTTCCGTTCCTTCACCAGGCCTGGGCCGTGGGAAACCGGCACGTGGGTGTGGCCGGCGCCGCCTTCGCTGGGAGGTGAGGCTCAGTCGGTGAGGCGGGGGTGGGGTGGGTAGAGAAGCGTGGCTGGGTGTTTTCTCGGCTGCATTAACCTGGGGGGCACCGCTTTTTAGCACTGTCCGGAGTCCAGGTGGCAGCGCTCGGCTAGGCTGTCCTGGGCGTCCCTGGCCCCTTCCCGGAGCATAGGCTATCAGCGGGGCCCGCAGCGCCCCCTCTGCGTGTAAACTGTAGAGGGGAACGAGAGATGCAGGGCCTGGGGCTCCTGTGCCGCAAGCTCATGCGGGGAGGGGCCGAGGGGGGGGCGGGGAGGGCTGGGAGTCCTGCAGAGGAAGCACGAGGCAGGCTCCCCGGGATGGCGGGGCCGAGCTTCCCGGAGAGGCAAGGCTGCCAACAGCTCTTTCCGGACCGAAGCTGCTGGAAGGCTGGGGGTGCCTGAGTCTGGGGCTGATTTAAGAGTGACTGCGTCTCTCCCCACACTCTCCAGTATGAGAAGGGGTAGGAAACAGACCCTTTTTTCGTAGCAGGAAGGTGTGTTTGAGGGGCCAAAGGGGTGCGAGGGATCTGTTCAGCAGGACCTAGATTCGGAGCAAGCTTGAAGTGAGAATTCATTGTATGTAGATATATGGGCAGAATAACTTGGTGGCAAAGAGGGAATGGGAGAAGGCCTGGATCAGAATGGAGGACTGAGAGCTGTACTCAGCCTGGGCCTCTTGGCCAGCCCTTCTTATGGGCTTGGGAGGAAACCACAGTCCTCTCAGTTGGGAAGCCTTTTCCTTCCAAAAGGTGCTACTATGTCAGAGAAATTGTTTTACTGAGACCTAGAAGCAAAAAGCATTAGAACTTACGTTGTACACAGTCGGGCCCTAAGTCTCAGAAAGAACTTGGGGCAAGGTAGGGCAGCCAGGAGGTGGTAGAGCGGGTCTCAAGCCCAAAAAAGTCTTTGGGTACCAAATTGTGAGCGCTTTTCATTAAAGCACAGCTGTTTTCAATAGGGCAGATGCCCAGAGCCTGCCTTAGTTGAAGAGAGAATGCTGGCAACATTTCCAGGCCTGACTGGGAAGGGAAAAGTGAACACAGGTTCTGGGTGGGCTAGGGCCAAGTGGAAAAGGCACCCCAGGCGGCTGTCCCTCCGGCCTTTGCAGTGGCTGCTGCAGTTCTCTCTTGTGCCCTTGAGTCTGCGGCCTTCCAGGAGGGCTGTACACACCCTGCTCTTCCCAAGCCTGCTCTTCCTTCGCATTTGCTTTCTCTTTCTTTTCCTGTCTCAGACAGAGTAAATGAGGAAGAGAAGAGAAAGCAGAGAACACAGGAAAACTTTCTCTTGCTGGGTTTGCTATGAGAAAGGGAAGTCTGTCTTTCCTTTCCCTCCCTTGTTTGTACCTGTTCTCTTGACTCTCCTCATTTCCTCCCCCACTTTTTCAGAGTCCCCATTGGCAGATATCACCCTTCCATAGTGTATGTCCTAGTGAGTCCAAGGCAGGTAGATGTTCCCTTTGGCTGTGTCCCTGCTGGTCCCCAGTTCCCAGGTGCTCAGAGGTGCCTCTGGCCTCATAGCTCACCTATTAATGAGCTTTGGGGTCAGGTAGATCTCAGTTCTGCCATCTACCAATAAGGTGGACTTGGAGTAGCATTTATTTAGACAAATCAGATTGTTTTACCTATGAGAGCCATCTAACTCGGATCTCGACTCATAGAAAAACCCAACAGGACAGAGAACTGCCCCATAGAGTTCCCGAGGCTGTAAAGCTTTAACAGAAGCAGATAACTTCATCTTTCTTCCATGGAGCAGCTGGTGGGTTAGAATAACAGATTTTAAGGCTAGCAGCCCAGCACCTAACTCATTTTGCCACCAGGATTCCTACAAGGTCTTGGTCATGCCACAGAGAAGGTGTGAGAGGCATGTTCCCTAAGTGGTAACCAATTTTATTAGTGGGTCACTTCCTTTGGTCTCAGGCCCCCTCACCCATTTACTGGAAATACCACCTCCTGCTTGACACTACATCTCCCACCTTCCCCTGCCAGATGCCGGTGCAGCTGACAACAGCCCTGCGTGTGGTGGGCACTAGCCTGTTTGCCCTGGCAGTGCTGGGTGGTATCCTGGCAGCCTATGTCACAGGCTACCAGTTCATCCACACAGAAAAACACTACCTGTCTTTCGGTCTGTATGGTGCCATTCTGGGCCTGCACCTGCTCATCCAGAGCCTGTTTGCCTTCCTGGAGCACCGGCGCATGCGGCAGGCCAGCCGGCCACTGAAGCTGCCCTCTCCACGGCGGGCCTCAGTGGCGCTGTGCATTGCCGCCTACCAGGAGGATCCTGACTACTTACGCAAGTGCCTGCGTTCAGCTCAGCGCATCGCTTTCCCGGACCTCAAGGTGGTCATGGTGGTGGATGGCAACCGTCAGGAGGACGCCTACATGCTAGACATCTTCCATGAGGTGCTAGGTGGCACTGAACAAGCTGGCTTCTTTGTGTGGCGCAGCAACTTCCATGAGGCAGGGGACGGCGAGACTGAGGCCAGCCTGCAGGAGGGCATTGCCCGGGTGCAGGATGTAGTGCGGGCCAGCACCTTCTCGTGCATCATGCAGAAGTGGGGAGGCAAGCGTGAGGTCATGTACACGGCCTTCAAGGCCCTTGGCAATTCGGTGGACTACATCCAGGTAAGGGGGTCCCCTGGGGGCAGGTGTGAATGTGAGTGTGCCCGGCCAGACAGACATAGTTGCCTTGGGTCTAGGCTTCTTGGCTTTGTTGTGCATCCCCTCTGTGCCTAAGAAGGCAGCAAGGTGGAATGGTTCTGAACAGCAGTCCTGAAGACAAACTGGCCTGGGTTGGAATTCTGATTGTGCTGTGCCTTAGCTCTGTGACTGGACAGGTCTCTGAATTGATGTCCCAATAATAACAATAGCTAATGGGTACCTGGTGTGGCGCTGTGGGTTAATGCATTGGACTGCAAAGTCGGTTTGAACTGCAGGGTTGGCGATTCAAACTCACCAGCCGCTCCTTGAAAATCCTATACAGGGTCGCTATGGATTGGAACCAACTCGACAACACTTAACATCATCAGTGGATATATAGCACTTTCTTCTTACCAGGCACTTCATACATACTGGTTTTGCCCCAGGGGATAAGTATCCCCTTATACAAGTTGAAACTGAAGCTCAGGAAATGCTAAGTAACTGGCCGAATGTCCCACTGCCAGAAAGGTGCTAATTTGAACCCAAGTGCAGCCAGAGTGCTCCTTGGAGGCCAGGATGGCCAAACTTTGTCTCTCATACTTCAGACATATTGTCAGGAGGGACCAGTCGCTGGAGAAGGATATCATGTTTGGTAAGGCGGAGGTTCAGAGAAAAAGAGGAAGACCCCCAACGAGATGGATTGGCTGTGGTAGCACTGATGGACTCAAGTGTGGCAACAATAGTGAGGTTGGCCCAGGATCGGGCAGTGTTTCATTCTGCTGTGCAAAGGTCACTGTGAGTCGGTACCGACTCGATGGCACCTAACAACAACAAAAGTCTGTCCGGAGTCTGCTGTTATGCATTATGCTATCATGGCTCACTATTGGCAATGTGGGGTAAGACTTTCCCTGTGCAGATATGACAAAGATCAAAAGATACCATATTCAAAAGTGCTGAAAAAGTTCTTTTTTATACATGGGCCACAAAAGTCCACTCTCCCTGATGTCAGGTGTGGGGAGGTGAGGTGTGTTTTGTTGTTTAGGTACCTGTCTACCTAAACTTGCCACTGACCCTCCTCCCCCTTTATGTAAGTTGTGTCCTTATGTTACAATAGATGCATTTATCTTTTTCTGTCTTCCTAGGCCCAAAGATTTCCCCAGTCTCGTAGGGTTAGAAGGCTTTTTGATTCTACAGTTCACCAGGGGTTGAGGGAGCTTCGTGAACTTTTCATGGAGTCCCAAGAGCCTTAGAAAAAGCCTTTAAACTTAGGCATCTGCACAAGCCACAGTGACTTTGCCATCCATGTCCTTGAAGCACAGAGCCCTTGTCTACCTGCCTGCCTTGCCACACATCTTCCTTTCCTGCTCATTTCCTGTGTGTGTTAACAGTGAGCCGAGGTTTTATGGCTCTGGGATTACAGCCTAGAGGCTGCCCAGGCTCCTGCTGTGGGTGTGTAGTTCCCTTTGAGGGAGAGACTCCCACCCTAGCCAGTGGGGAAATTCTCTCCCCAGATTGGAGGAGCAGAGCCACAGAGAATGGTTGTTAAGTCAGGACAAGAAGGTGTGGTGAAATCAGCAGTATCAGGAAGCCCGGAAGCTAAGAGGCTCTGGGAGTGTGCCCTAAGGCTCCCTAGGACCCTGGAAGGCATGGGTCAGAATGCAAAGATGGGTATAGTGAGAAGGAATAAGTATGCGAGGGACCCAGCTGGTCATGCCTGGTCTCCCTTTATCCTTCTGCTCCTTGTTATTGTCCTGTGTCTCCCAGCATAGACCTGGAAGATGGGGTAGGGTTGGAATGTTTGGTCAGACTTCTTCCTGCAGGTCACTGGGTACTGCCAACCTTAGTGAGTAAGGGTTTTAGACCTTTGCAGAACAGAGTCTCGACTCATCTGAGAACTTGTCTGCTCTGTGAACAGTGACCTGTAGAGATGGCCAGTGAACCATTCTAGCCATGAGTTACCTGGATTCTTTGTATCATTGTTTACAAAACAGACAAGTCAGCCAGCAGAGTAAGGTGTTCAGGGCCCAGGTTCAACTAATATTGGGGCCCCTGGTAGAACTGGGAGGAGCCCTGCTGGTGTAGTAGGGTCAGTGTTGGGATGTTAACTGAAAGATCAGCAGTTCAAACCTACCAGCTGCTCTGTGGAAGAACGATGAGGCAGTCAGTCTGCTTCTGTAAAGATCTGCAGCCTTGGGAATCTTAGGGGGCAGCTCGACTGGGTTCTCTGGGGTTGCTAAGAGTTGGAGTTTAATAAACAGCAATGGGTGGGTGTTAGAAGTGGGCCACGCACCTTCCTAGGGCTGTGAGCTGATAGCAGGGCTTGATTCAGAGCCTAATTGGAGGCAGTTGCTGCCAGCCCCCATGCCTATGGAGAACAGAATTCTGGAGAGAGCAAACCCTGGCCGTTCTGGGGCCCTGGTTTGAGAGATTTGTCAGAGGAGTTGCATTGAGGGGGCTCAAAAGGTGTGGGGGCCATAGAGTGGTCTCAGGAGGGGCCTGTGATGGTGCATAGTCCAGGCCAGGGGCTGAGAAGGGGAGCCTTGAGTTCGCAGCCCCCGGGGACAAGCTTGGTCAGTAAGCCATTGACACGAGCCTTTTAGTAGCTTTCTGAGGAGTGTGTTTAACCTCACTTACGTCTGTCACCTTACTTCAGTAACTATTTCCCCCTTTCTATCCAAGAACCCTGGAAATATTTTTGAGACCATTTCTATGGATTCTGGTTCTGACAAGGGACTCACACATTTGTCCAGTGCTAAGAATTCTCCCCTCCCAGTCGGCACAAGCAGTCTCCTGGGCTTCTGGCTCTGTTTGCCTGGCAGCTGCCCAGCCTGGTGTTTGAACTCTCATCTTTCCTGTCTTAAGCCTCTCACTCCTTCTCTGTGGCATAGATACATTTGCCAGAGGCTGGAAGTGAATCATGTGATAAGGGGTTCTGTCCCTCAGGGAGTAAGTGTGTGTGTGTGTGTGTCTGTGTCTGTGTGTGTGTGTGTGTGTGTGTGTGTCTGTCTGTCTGTCTGTCTGTCTGTCTGTCTGTGTCAGGGCCCAGGGCCAGGGCAGCTTAAGACCAAAATGGGTGCACTTACTCTGCAGGTGTGTGACTCCGACACTGTGCTGGATCCAGCCTGCACCATTGAGATGCTTCGAGTCCTGGAGGAGGATCCCCAAGTTGGAGGAGTTGGGGGAGATGTCCAAGTAAGAAGTAACTGGGGGCCTTGGGAGTGGGGGTGGTAGTGGGGGGCAGGGCTTCCCTTTGGCCAGTTTTCACTGGGATCAGAGGTCTCACTTGCTACCCAATCCCTCCTCCTGTTCTTTTTCAACCAAGGAAAAATATCACAGTGTGGAGGGAGCCTGTACTACACTTACTTGGGGATGGCGGTGGTCGGTGGTATTTTGTGGTTATGGATCGCGGAGGATGGTTTCTTTTTGACTGGTGGTGTCAGTCACTTAGAGGTGTCCTTGTAGAAGGCATGAAATGAGGCTGCGCAGCTACTCTCTCCAAAGTTAGACCCTTGAGAAGCCCAGCTCATGGAAAACTTGGGCAATGTGGTCAGAATTTAGAAACCAGATATTCTCCAGACATATTGCTGGCAAAATACCATGTCTTCCTTAGAAGCTTCTCAGTGTACAGCAGGACAGGACAAGTGTTCCACATATTCCCCTGCCACCACCACAAGCTACCTCCTGAGACTGAAGGTTGTTGTTACTGTTAAGTGCCACTGAGTCGGTTCCAACCCATAGTGACCCTGAACAGGGTTTCCAAGGCTGTAAATCTTAACGGGAGTCGAAAGCCTCATCTTTCTCCTGCGGAGCAGCTGGTAATTTTTGAACTGCTGACCTTGTGGTTTGCAGCCCGATTTGTAACCACTATGCTACCAGAGATGGAAGGTGGCTTTGGCCAATTGAAATGGGACAATCAGGGCAAATGATAGTGGGGAGGTGGAGCTAGTAGTACTAGGGAGAGTGGGTGACTCCTTTGAGCCTCACGTTTCCCAGGGCTGACTGAGCTAGAACTGATGGCCCGGAATCTGGGCAATGGACCACAGATCCCAGGGCTCTGGTCTCCATCTCCTCTGGCTGGTTGCAGAATGGGTGAGGCCCAGCATCTCTGGTTCCCTTGCAGATCCTCAACAAATATGACTCCTGGATCTCCTTCCTGAGTAGCGTGCGGTACTGGATGGCCTTCAACGTGGAACGGGCCTGCCAGTCCTACTTTGGCTGTGTGCAGTGTATCAGCGGGCCCTTGGGCATGTACCGCAATAGCCTCCTCCAACAGTTCCTGGAGGACTGGTACCATCAGAAGTTCCTAGGCAGCAAGTGCAGCTTTGGGGATGACCGGCACCTCACCAACCGAGTCCTGAGTCTTGGCTACCGGACTAAGTACACAGCACGCTCCAAGTGCCTCACAGAGACCCCCACCAAGTACCTCCGATGGCTCAACCAGCAGACGCGCTGGAGCAAGTCTTACTTCCGGGAGTGGCTCTATAACTCTCTGTGGTTTCATAAGCACCACCTCTGGATGACCTACGAATCAGTGGTCACAGGTTTCTTTCCCTTCTTTCTCATCGCCACGGTCATTCAACTCTTCTACCGTGGTCGCATCTGGAACATTCTCCTCTTCCTGCTGACAGTGCAGCTAGTGGGCATTATCAAGGCCACCTATGCCTGCTTCCTTCGGGGCAATGCAGAGATGATATTCATGTCCCTCTATTCCCTTCTCTATATGTCCAGTCTCCTGCCGGCCAAGATCTTTGCCATTGCTACCATCAACAAGTCCGGCTGGGGCACTTCTGGCCGAAAGACCATTGTGGTGAATTTCATTGGCCTCATTCCTGTGTCTATCTGGGTGGCAGTCCTTCTAGGGGGGCTGGCCTACACCACATATTGTCAGGATTTGTTCAGTGAGACAGAGTTAGCCTTCCTTGTCTCGGGGGCTATCCTGTACGGCTGCTACTGGGTGGCTCTCCTCATGCTATATCTGGCCATCATTGCTCGAAGATGTGGGAAGAAGCCAGAGCAGTATAGCTTGGCTTTTGCTGAGGTGTGACAGAGCCCCCAACTAGGATGGGGAAAAAGTGCAATTGATAAGGGAGGGAAGGGAGATGCAAGAGAAACAGATGGGGTGGGAGGGAGAAGGGAGTGCTGTGTTTTAATTTCTTAATGGTCTAATGGACAAATCTGAAATGTAAAGAATGACAACTGCAGTATGGCCTGGGGTAGCTCTGCTTAGAGGAGGCAACCACAGCCTCCTCAGGCTAAGGGCAGAGCAGGGCTTGCCTGGTGGCTGGCTTCTGTGCACAGGAGGTGGCCTCAGGGGGAATAGATTTCCAATTCCTCCCCCAGGATCCAGAACTCAGAAGTGTGCTAAACCAAATAGTTAAGTTTCATTCAGTGGCAACTTCTGATGGGTGAGTGAGCAACGGAAGGGAGTCTTCAAAGCAGTAAGAACGTGTCTGAGATACAAGGCCCAGAAGCCTGGTCTTAAGGCATCAGAAAACAGGGTTCAGGAATGATGCTTTATTGTGTGATATACCCCATCCCACATCTCAGTATCCCAGGGATAAACACAACCAGCAAGAAGTTAGCATTTTATGGCTTTAAAACACGTTCATACATGTATTTTGAAAAGGAGTTTGCCAGAAGCTAAGAGATTTGTGGTGATGCTAAATGCCCAGGGCTATATGGAGGCTTTGAGCTGAAAGTGTTCCAGGTAGAAACTGTCCACTTGTCTGACATCTGTGCTGGGAGACAGATGTTTGAGCCATCTACTAGGAATGTTAAACCTCAACATGCTCAGAAAAAAAGTGAGGTCCTCAGGTGCACATATACTCCTGAATTCCTCTCAAATTTAGCGCTTCTCACTTCAGTTTGTTTAAGAGTGTTTCCTCAGTGAACTACAGTCATCATGGGCAACTTTTTCAAAATGGCAAAGCCTGGGCAATAGACAAGGCTGCCTTCAGTACATATGGAACCATTAGGAATCTGTGACCAAAGAGGCTAGTCTTGGAACTGTTTGGACCGAGATTCTTTAGCAGTTGGGTAGTGTGCCTGACTTTCAGTCTACAGTTCTTGAGAGTCATCTCCAGTAAAAGCTTTTCAGTGTTCTTTCTCTAAATGAACCCTCACACCCAACCTGGTCACCTTTGAGACTTCTCCAGGGAATTTTTACAGCCAGGTTCTGGAGTCATTATTGCATTTATTTGCTTCTTAACAGAAACCAAAGTAGGAGATGGAATTGTTTTCTAAACCCTAAGGCTCTTGCTTTCCCCTTTCATTCACTCAGTGAGGTTCCTTTATTCCAACTAGTCTTTCCCTCTGTCTGTCTGAGGAGGGCCGGAGGGATTAGGGAAGTTTTTTGGGATTTGCAGTCCAGACTACCCTCAGCTCTTGGGTTTAAATCTGCAACTTCTGACTTGGCATTTGCTTGTCTCTTTACAAACCTTTGCCCTTCGAGAGGCCAGTTAACACGTCAGAACCAGCACTAACGTAGAGGGGAGTTGAAAGGCCAGCTTCTGTTGTACGTCAAGTGTTTCCTACAAGACTGAAATGTGCTCTGAGCCCCACAGATGGTGCTTTCCTTCATCTCATAAACTCCAGGGATTTCCAGGTGCAGCACATGGTTGCATCACACAGACCTCGTTTCTGACAAGACAGTTTTGGTTGGTGTTAAGCCCAACCCATGAAGACTGGGAAGCAGTAGCAGGCATTTGCTTAAGGTAGTTGCTCCAGGCTCTTCCGTGGTTTAGCTGGCCAAGAAGTAAGCTATTTTGAGAACTACAATGGGGGAAATCCGGTCAGCCAACTGCAAAGCTGAGACTTCACTAAGGGCTTGCTTTTCTTCAGCTTTTACTTGAATAATCGGAGATGGACTCCGGTTGGAGAGAGCTCCTCTGGCTGTCCTACCATCAAGCTCTGCCTTGCACTGTAGTTGTCAATGCTCCTCAGATCAAAACTAGGCAAGTACAGGTAGGAGGCTTACAACGTTTGACCTCGACTGGTTTTTCTAAGTTATTTTGTACATTTTTCAGCAGAAAAAAACAAAAACCTGGGTCTTCAGCTTTATCCCTATTTCTTGCAAGGGAAGAGCCTTTATACAACTAGATGCATTTTGGTTTTTGTCATTTTTGAGAATTTTAAGCCTCTTTTGTATTGTATGCTACAGTAATTTGTACACATATTTATTTTTACCTTTTATTTCCCCCTTTTTTACTTTTCAGGTCAAATTTTTTACACTACACTTATTTGTCAAAATAAAGATTCTCATGTAATGCTGGTATTTCTGAGCTACTTCCTCCCAGCTTTGTAATGAAATGAAAGCTAGCTCTGTATTCCAGTTTGAGAAGAGGCATGTCAGGTAGAAACTACTGTGTCGAGGTAATTTCAGTGGAACTCATCAAAAGGACGATGAGTTGTCACAGCTGCCTCTAGCTCTGGGGAAGACAGGAGGCCCACCTTGGTTGTAACTGTACACCTGAGGTGGCTTGACCTTTATGTTCAAGGGGGGCAGGGTCTTTGGTGAGAGGCTGGCACATGCAGGAGCCATCAGTAAGGCTAGAAACAAAACTCACTAGAGCTCTGTAAGCGGGAAGTATTCTAACTGGCAGGTGATGTAGAACTGTGGCCAAGCTGAGATCATTGAAAGCAGTACGTCAGCTTCCTTCCCTAGAAGACAGGTAACAAAGCAGAGTGACATCAGCAGCCCTCTCATCCCATTTATTAAAGAAATAGTAAGAAAAAGATACAATGCAGGAAAAAACATCAACCCTCCTTTCACATCAGGCGGAACCAAAGCACAGTGATTTCTCCCCTTTGTCCCCCACCCCCATCCCAGTTCCAATGTCCCCATCCCTATCAGTTTAAATTTTGAGGTTCTTTGATTGGGAGTACCAGTGGAGAAGGAGTTAGATGAGCAGTGGGCCTTAATTCTGGCTTCTAAGTCCCAAGAGGAGGGAGACTTGGGCCAGTCAGGCAGGCAGAAATTGTTATTTGGTGGGTCTCTGAAGTGGTTGCCCACCTCCCTGTTTTGTGTTCAAGCCCCCAGGGAAAGATATGGCAGTAGAAGATGACCAGGCCTAAGCTGCCCAGGTCACAGCTACCGAAGCATGGTCTGTTCACCAATGCAACCTTTCTAAAGAGCAGTGGACTGATTTTCCCAGTGTTGAGCAGGGGTAGACGTATGAATTGGGACCTGTAAGCCAATGTATCCCTGAGGAAAAGTCCATAAGAACAAATCAAGAAACTAGTAAGAAACAAGGGGCAGAAAGCTGTGGGACAAAAAGCACAATAGGCTTCTGCAAGGCTGGAGACCCTCTCAGTGCCAGGATCAGTCCCACCTACCAAAGGCCATGTCCCATAAACATTTCACCTTCAGCCAAGAAAGAAGTTTGAAAAATATGGCTCATTTGAACCTGAGCCCCACTATGTACTTCAGATCATAGTGCCATATCTACCCTTTTATCTAAAGGACAGCCCCTGCCCAAAACCACAGTGCCTGAACACCAAGGTGGTCCAGAAGGGAAAATGAGATTTAAGGAGGTAACATTCCATTTGGGTACATTGTAGCCATTGGGCCCCCTGGTCTGGGGAAAGCAGCTGAGTTTGTGCCAGTGAGGTTCCCCACTCTAGGAAATGGGACCACAGTCTTGCCTATAGGGCCATTCATCCTTGGAAAAGAAGCTGGGTTTAGACCCAGGGGCCCAGTTGGCCTTGCAAAAGGAGCTGGGTTAATACCCACAGGGCCTGTTGAAGAAGCCAGGGGCCCAGCAGCTGACCTGGGGAAAGCAACTTGCCCAGGGCCTAATGGGCCAGCAGACCTTGGAAAGGTAGCTGGACTTGGACCCTGAAGGCCAGTGGCCCTTGGGAAGTTAGCTGGGTTGGGACCTAGTGGTCCAGAGGCTCTTGGGAAAATTGCTGGGCTTGAGCCCTGAAGACCAACAGACCTCTGAAAGGTAGCAGCAGGGTTTGAAGCCAATGAACTAGATGACTGAGAAAAGGCATTTGGGTTCAGGACTCCTGAACTTGCCCCCCTTGGGAAGGGATTAGCATTTACCGCCATAGGACCAGTTGGCCTTGAGAAATGAGCTGAATTAGGGCCCATGGGGCCAGGAACCCGTGACATGGGTGATGGATTTGGCCCTGGAACACCAATTCCCCGAGAGCCAGGACCTGAATTTGGGCCTATGGGGCCTGGTACCCTTGTGATAGAGGATGGGGTTGTACTCAGGTTTCCAGAAGCCTGTGAGAAAGAAGCTGAATTTGCTCCTAAAAGACCTGCGGCTCTTAGAATGGGGCCAAGATCTAGGCCTTGAGGTCCAGCCATTCTTAAATTAAGACCAGCTCCTGTGCCCAAAAGGCCACCACCTGTTCTAGTGTCCAGATTAGGGCCTGGGCCCAGGCCACTTGCCCGTGGGTTGAGCCCAAGGCCTGGGCCCAGGCCACTTGCCCGTGGGTTGGGACCAAGGCCTGGGCCCAGGCCACTTGCCCGTGGGTTGGGACCAAGGCCTGGGCCCAGGCCACTTGCCCTTGGGTTGGGACCAAGGCCTGCGCCCAGGCCACTTGCCCTTGGGTTGGGACCAAGGCCTGCGCCCAGGCCACTTGCCCTTGGGTTGGGACCAAGGCCTGGGCCCAGGCCACTTGCCCTTGGGTTGGGACCTAGGCCTGGGCCCAGGCCACATGCCCTTGGGTTGGGCCCAAGGCCTGGGCCCAGGCCACTTGCTCTTGGGTTGGGCCCAAGGCCTGGGCCTTGATACATACCTGATCTGGGGGCAGCATTTGTACCCAAGAAGCCTGATCTCAAATTGGGACTTGGTCCTGGGCCAAGACCAACAGGCCTAGGATTGGGAGGAGCATTCCCAGAGGTCAAAAAGACACCTGCTCTCAAGTTAGGTCCAGGTCCGGGAGCCATAGGACCACCACTTCTGGGGTCAGCAACTGTTCCCAGGAGACCACCTGTCCTTGGGTTGGACACAGGACCTGCGCCTGGGAGACTGCCTAACCTTGGGTTAGACAGAGACCCTTGGACTGGAAGAGTCCCCGCTCTGGAGTTTAGAGCTGGGCTGGGGCCCAAGAGGCCACCTGGCCTTGGGAGAGAAACTGCCCCTGTTCCAGTAGGATTCATCCCTCTGGGAAAAGAAGCCATACTTGGGTCACGAGCACCAGCAGGGTAGGGCGCTGGATTTGAAGCCAATGAAACGGATGGAGTTGGAAAAGAAGATGGGTTCCTTGGAAATGGGGCCAGATTTCCACCAAGAGAAGCTGCTGCCATAAGGAAGGGATCTGAGTTCACGCCCAGTGGGTGGCCTGTGTTCAGAGCAGGACTCCCCTGTGGTCCCAGGGAACCGTCAAGTCGTCCTCGGGGTGGCAGCGGAGCACGAGTCCAAGGAGTTGGCCGCTCTCTAAGGAAAATCCGGGGTTCTTTCATACTTTCTTGGGAACGCTGGTGATAATGGGCTTGGGGCGTGTTTTGAAAAGGATCTTGTTTTTGATGAGTGCTGTCACCTGGTACTGGGTGCCAGTCTCGCAGCCAAGCTCATCAGAATCTCTCTCCCCAGGTGTGTGTTTGACAAGGACGGCAAAAGGTTTCTCCAGGTGGATGATTTTCCCATACAGGATATGATGCCCCACGATCAGCACAGGGATTCCCTTTGGCAGAACAAGAACAAGCTTGAGGCTCATGACAAGGTCAAACACCCAGGTGCCTTCTGAAGCTACTCTTGGCAGGCGACGCTGGTCCCTCCCTTCCCTAGTCTGGCTCTACCATTGTTGAACCACCACTCTGGACAACCCACCCTTGTGCCCCACACAAGAAATTGTCCACTTTCAGTATGTGACCCTTCAGATTTCCCAAGGTTAAAATTCCCCTGGTACTACAGAGGTGGGGGAGGAGAACAAGCAGAGAGCTCAGCAGATTAGCTAGACCTTAGATAACAAACCTGAGGGCAGTCCTCACTCTGGGTCCTGGGAGCACCACCATGGTGCAGCTTGCTTTTCTGAGGCATTAGGCAAAGAAAGAAAAGCCCCCTTACCTCAGTGGTGTAATGTAGGTCTCCCAGGAGGTTTCCAGCTAATCCGGTGCTGTAGCGAGCCTCGATCTCCCCCTGTAGCTCCATCAGCACCCATTCTGCCAGGCCTCCAGCCCCAGCACTGCAAGCAAAGGGCTGGTGGTTACAATATTTTGAGGGGTGTAGGATGAGTAGTGGTCCTACACCACCATTCAAAGCTCAAAAGAACTCTTCATTGAGCACTAGTTCTTGGGAAACTGGCATACGAGGCACTGACCTAGAGATTCAAATGCAAGGACTTGTGCCAGCTGCAACTGAGGACCTGGATTATTTGCACATCTGTAGAGTCCTAATCATTCAAGCTAACAGAAAAAACCTGAACACATACTCACCTGGAAATCACAATTTGTACCATGAGCTTTCTGTCTTTAAAAAACAAATGAAAACTGTAGAAAGAGAGAGAGAGAGATTTAGGACAGCAACAACAGAAGCAAATATTTATCACTGTGTGCCTGGCACTTTTCTAAGTGCATCAGACACATGTTCTCATCGTATTCACCTAACTACCCAGTAAGGCTGGTTTAATACTGATACTGTACACATGAGATAAGGCTGCTTCAGATTCCCAATGGTGAGCCATAAAACAGTATGGAAAGTTAACAGGCATCACAATTCCACATAAGGTCAAGAACCAGGATTTGAATCTAAGACATGTACTACAGAGCCCACTAGATCACTGTACTGTCTTGCCTTTCTCAAGGACGTTCTACTTTCTACTCAGTATATTTACTGAAAATTAAGAGATTCTTTTAGATTTTCACTTTTTTCTTGATTTGGCTATTTTATGTTTCAAGGTTCAAAGGTTGTCCTTTAAAAAAAAAAGCCAAGAAAAAATGAAAAAGGTCCGCTTGCACAGCCAACGCTAGTCAACTTTTACTTTATGCAATTGCACCACCTGGTGGCATGTTTGTTTTCTATGAGAATGGGTTACAATTTCCCTCAATGTTTCACTTGCATCATGTCAAGGATCTAAACTGCAGCTTTTGGCTAACTCCTCCCAAAATATTTATGGAGTCTAGAGGAAAGGTAAGAGTCCTGATGTGGTACTGCAGGATAATGCACTGTACTGCAAGGTTGGTTTGAACTGAAAGGTCAGTGGTTCAAACCCACCTGTCACTCCTTGGAAATCCTATGTAAAGTTGCTGAGTCAGAACTGACTGGATGGTACTTAACATAGTATTTACTAACTGTAATATGGAAAGTTAATTTTTTAATTCTGTGCAAGTTCTGCAAATGCCTGATTGAATGAACAGTTAAATAGGTTTCTTTACTTCACCGTTAATGTGCATTTTGGGAAAGTGAACTCCAGAATATAGTATTTGTAAGCAGAACCTCTGCTAGAACACGAAATACACTTTGTGAACATGGAATTGGTTAACTCACTGGACTTCTAATTCATATATAAACAGCTACCATTTATGGAAATTTTGGACACTTGGTGTGGTGCTGTAGAAGGAGCACTGGACTGCTAACCACAGATCGGTGGTTCAAACACCCATCAGCTATTCCTCTGAAACTGAACTTGACAGCACTTTTAAGAAATTTTACCATGGATCTAATGCCGTGCCTATATACAGGTAGTTAGCTCAGCCAATCACAGTTACCTAATGAAACAAATACTCATCCCTATTTCGCAAATGAGACTACTGAGATATCCTGAGATGAAGTCATTTACCGGAGATCACACAGCTATGATTGGTAGAGCCAGGATAAGAACATAGGCCATCTGACTCTTATCTACACTTACAATCACCACCGAATTCTGCCTCTCAATAGAAGTAAATCAAATGCTAAGGAGAGTGAGAAGTACTGAAGGTATCAGAGACTCAGTACATGGTAGAGTTGGTCAGAGGGCAGGTAAAGGGGAACAGAGGGCCTCTTCAAAGAAGACAGATGTTCTGCAGCAGCACTCACCACTACTGGTGTGGTACTGTTAAAATAAACACGGGTTTGCTAATAAGGTTGGCGATTCAAAACCTATGCAGGGATGCTATGTGTCAGAAACTACTCAATCACTTACCACCACTATCTACAGGAACACCGAAAGCATTTAAACATCCTTCTAGGGTTCCTTGGTGAAAACAGGATGACTATTTAGTCTGTGGCTCTGGAGTTCTTTCCTGTGTGATCATGCACAATTCACTGACTGACTGTCAGACTGACACCTCGCTTACCTGACTCTTCCAACTACTATACAGGCCAAAGATGACCTATACAAAAAACTAAAAAATCGTTAAGTTCTACTCAAACAAATCACCAGGTTTTTTATAGAGGTTAAGCCAGCATTCCCACAGCAAGGATGACAAACAAATTCATGAAAAAATGGCTCAATAACTAGGAATTGAAAAGGTGCGAAGTTTTTCAAGGTCAATACAGGTACAGCGATTGTAAACAGATACCTGTAAATGAGCATGTGATGGCTGACGGGGTAGTGTATTTTCCTCGAAGGATGTCACAGTAAAATACAGGTGGTTTTAGAGAAGCCACACAGGTACAGGGATGCCTTCTCAATCTGTTAAGGGCAACACTTTATTGTCTGGTATCTGCGCACTGGCAGAGAAAGGAGAAAACCTACTTTCTGACCACACATTTGGGATGGGGATGTTGTAGACTGTTTTAGGCAATGGGAATACAGAAGTATTTTCAGCACATTCTCTTCCTGGACAGTTTCCTGTTAGAACAGGAATTCAGAGGGCAAAGGAAAATAGATGTCAGACAGTTAGGACAGAGAAGCTATACTCACATGCCAATCCTTGGTGCTTCAATGAGCACATGTCTTTTACCCATTATGTAGGAGGCCTGACCTGAGTATACCTGTTGATATGGTAGACATCTAGCAGTGTGCCCTGCAAGTAAGGATTCTGTCTCACCTATTGTAAACTTTTGTGCTAGACCTACTGGGATGCTGCAAATGTGTATACAAACGGGTCTAACTTACAGGCATCTAGCTCATGGGAACGCATGGGCTGAACTGGCTAGTTACATTTATGTACATGAGGGTGTATTTACCAACTTAGTAAAGAATATAGAGAAGGTTGCATTCTTTAGTGAATTGAAAAATTCTTCTCTAGTACCTTGAAATAGCTTGTTAAGACTTGAATTCTTTCTTTTCTTGCTTCATGGAATTACCACTCTAGGTAAATGTTTAGGGCTAGAGTAGGTGGGCTTCCCGGGTACTTTACTAAGGGCACAGCTAGTGGAAGTAGCAGAGAATATGTATTTCTCTTAGTGCTGAAGCAAATAAAAAGGACCTAAGGACCTCTGGAGGAACCAGTCACTAGAGAAGGACATCATGTTTGGTAGGGTGGAGGGTAAGAGAAAAAGAGGAAGACCCCCAGCAAAAGGATTGGTGAAGCGGCAGCATCAATGAGTTCAAGCATGGTAACAATTGTGTGGTTGGCCCAGGTCTGGGCAGTGTTTTGTTCTGTTGTGCACACAGTTGCTTGAGTCGGTGCTGACTCGATGGCACCTAACAAGGACATGCAGTGCAATCTGTTCTCATTCCCTTGAGTGGGCAGAAATAGGGGAGTGAGGGAAGAAAGCAAAAGAAGAGGTAAAGAAGTATAGTATGAGTTAAATCCTAGTAGTAAGAATAAATAATAATGAAAATTCTCTGTTTAACAAGATTTCTATACCTTCAGTCTCTAATGACATTCTAAACAAGACTTAAAGACAACTTAAGCAATTTCTAGGTGTGTGTTCTAAGATTTGGCTTATGAACAAACCGCTGCAGCTTTATCAAGAACCACATCTGAGTGATGACCACACTATTACATCAAGAAAGAGAATCGATGGAAGAGCAGTTCCAGTACTCATCTCTGTTGAGCCTTGAGCTCAATCCCAGATTTGACTAGGGCCAATGAGCTTGTCTTTAGAACAATAATTACAGGCTGACAATGTAACTGTAGAGTCAGAATAGCTTTTCAAAGAGGTTGTTTAAATACATTGTATTTCAGAGCGGTATCATTCTCATAGACAAAAACTAGAGTGTGGTCTTGGAGAGATGGGAAGATGTGAAGAAAACCCTACCTCTTCCCCTCTGCAATGAATTATTTTGGCCACTTTCCTAGACCCACACCCCTAATTCAACATGTAAAACGTTTTTTACTCAATTTTTCTGGTTCTTCACATAGCTAAAGAAAAAAATGAAACAGTATCCAAATTCTGTATTCCTACAATAGTCAAATGCCTTCAGTTCTGACAAAGAAACTTAGGGGAACAAGGAAATTTAAGGGGGGGAGCCTTTTTTGTAGATTCATTTTTTAGGAATTAATTCTGTAAGTCAGCCTTAAGTCATCCCCAGTCTTAAGACCTGAATGTTTGTAGTTTGTATGTCTTGGGTGAAGACCTGCTGATTCTCAGGACACTGATTTAAATGATCCCTGAACCCAAACCACAGGGCAGCAGAGGAACCACATTCTCAAAACCAGTCTAAACCCACAGAGAAAGCCCTAACTCAAACCCAAAGGTCTGGAATGTACCTTGTATTCCTGCCCTTTGGCTTCTATCGGGTTTTGACGTTAGTAAATTACTATTAAAATGATGACAAAGAACCTGAGGAAAATGCTACATGATTTTTGAGTCCAGCATATATCTTTATAACACAAAAAGCAGCTTCATTTCTCACATAGCTTAACATCATGACAACAGCACGATGAGCTAGGTGGGCAGTCTTATTCCCAGCTTACATGTGAGGCAACAGGTTTAGGGAGGCCAAAGATGAAGTCACTTGTCCAACACTACACAACTAAGAAGTGGACCAGGTGGGATTTGAGTGTTCTCTCCCTCAGACCTCTTTTATGCAGCACTTCCCTAAGAGTTCTGGTTGCCTTTACAGTTAACTCTCACAGGAGCTCTTAATAAATGGCAATTAAGTAAATCCATGGGAAGAGTTTAAGAAACTCGCTACTAAAAGTAGCTGTCACATCTGTGGGGCAGATTGTTCAAAACAGTAAATGCCTTTTTATCAAATCCAACTGATACTTAGGTTTTTAAAAACCACCACAATGCTCACCTCTAGTATTCAAACTTGAACCTCTGTTTCATAGTGTAAGGAAAAATAAGTCCAAAAAATAGAGGACATTCTTTGTCATGAGTGCATGTTAAATCTTCAACACAGTGAATACTCGTATCCTCTGATCTTGGAATTGTTAAATATTAATAATTATGGGGAACAATCTCAGCAATGAGCTATTAACATATTGGTAGCTGCTCCTCAAAGTGTGGTTTGTACCCAACTGAATACAGCTTATAGCAAAACAAGGGGCTTTGACTTAGTTACAAAAGTAACCGAATGTTACTAAACAATGTTTCATAAATTTTCATTAGAACCTTTAAGCTCAGTTTTCACGTTCTTTTTTATTATACCTTTCCAATTCTTAAAAATTACTTATTTCAAAAAAGTTAAATATGTGATACAAAAGATCTGCAAATTGCTACTCTGATAGCATTGTGTTCTTTGTCCCAGGTATTATAACCAGTGTTTAATGAGGCAGTGAGTCAGACAGACCTGGATTCTGCCACTTTATGCAAGTTGTTGTTAAGTGCCATCAAGTTGGTTCAGACCCGTAGCAACTCTGTATAGCTTTGCTGAGTGGCTGGTGGGTTTGAACTGCCGACCTTGAGGCTCAAACGGATCATACAGTCCAGCGAGTTATCCTGCAGCACGAATCCTGGTGAATTTGTTTTCCCAACAACCAACAAATTGGGCATAATAAAAGCACCTATCCCAAGAGCAGTTGTGAGAATTAAATGAGGTAATAAAAGCCACAGTGCCTAATACAGAGTATGCCTTCACAGTCAAGATATGACTACCCAGAGGAATGTGGCATTTTCCCTTACAAACTGTAACTACTATTTTAATATTTATAGTGAGCCCAAAATAAAAACAATCATCAGAACAAAATCAGATTTAGACAATGGGAGAGTAATTCAAGTATGGCAATCAGGGTTCACTTCAGGGACAGTTTCAGGGATTAAGTTCTGAAAGGCCATGTTTTGAAACATATTGACTGTACCCCTAATGTGTCTTTCCAAGTGAACGTCTCAGTAAGTTTTATATACAACTGGATACAGATTACTTTTATTAGCAGTGTTATTGTGGTTTTGTGATTGAAGGGGATCTTGTCTTCCACAGGTTTACGTCTTTAAGTGCCAGAATCTTATTTTTCTAAACGAGAAGCATGCTTCCCTCTAGAAAGGGGTTATGGAGGGTAAGTGGAACTGAATGCTTCCAAACTTTTCATTAGTGAAGAGTGTATTCAAAACGTGTGTGGATTCTATGCATACACGTGGAACATTTTAGGATTCCAGGGTTGAAGGGAACCAATTACTGGCATTTGTAGACAATAGGTGGAAAAGATGGCTTCGGTCGATCTGAGTTATTCCAGTTTTCTCCATCTTCGGCTACTCTCCAGCCCTATCTCAAACCTTCCTCCTCTTAATTGCGATGATGCCTCATCTTCCTGGAAAGCTCCCTCCTTCATAGCCCTGCTTGGGTTCTCCCGCTAAATTGGATTCTCCTCCCATCAGTTCCCAACTTCTCCACCCACTCCCCCGGACCCCTCAATTCGCTTCCGAGAGAGCTACAAATACTTCGTTCTCTTTCTAGTCCATCCCACTTTCTGAGATTTCTCAAGCCGCATCCCCCTCTTCTTCTAACCCTCCACCGAATTACTCCTAAACCTTCGCGAGGCACACTTTCCAGGCTGTTTAACCCCTTCTTCTAGCTCCCGAGGAAACTAAAATTTAAACTGCCCACCTCGCACCGGAGTGGCCTTTTAAATAGCTCACTTCCTCCCCATGGATTAAAACCCTCTGCCACCCTCATTCTCCAAATCGTTCCCTGCTTCCCCATCCGATCCTGAAGCATTTCCCTCCTTTAGCACCCCACCCCACTATCCTCACTTATTTTGTTCCACCCACAAAGCAGCCTGGGATCACTCTCCCAACCCTCTCTTCCTTACAACAGCTCTCCAAATTACCTTTCCCAGAAACCTTCCACTCCATTATTTAAAATGTCCCCTCAAACAAACCTAACAGTCCCGCTCCCCCAGATCGCCTTTCTACCATTCCCGCTACTTCCTGGATTCCCGTTTCCCCCAGCTCCCGCAAGCCTTGCGTGTCGGGCTCCCAGCCACCCGGGGAAAGGCCCCTGCCCGCACATACCTCGAGGTTCCGGCCCGCGCCGCCCCCTTCTCCGTTCTCCGCCCGCGCTCCACCACCTTTTCCGCCCTTCTGTTGCTGCGCTCCGCCCCACTCGCTCTTCCTTGCCCCCGCCTTCCGCCTCCACACGCCTCCCTTCCCCCCACCCGGGGGCTCCACTGGGTTCGCCACCACCTCTGCGCGGCCCTCTCCGCTTCCCTTCCCCCTCCCAGCCGCCCTCGGCTCCCCGCCCCTCTGCTCGCCATTCTTCTACCAGAGCCGCGCGCCCCGCCGGCCCCAGCTCGCTAGCTCCCCGCTACTTCGCGCCCTCGTCCCCATTCCCGGTTTGACCCTCACTTCCCAAGGCCTCCCGCGCCCCCCGCCCGCGGCCTGACCTGCAATGGCGGCCGCCGAACGCGGCGCCGCGCGGCCAACGGGCGACAACCGAACCTCCCGCCGCCGTCGCCGCCGCCGCGAGCACTGCCTGCGCACTTCCGCTCTCGTGTCGCGAATACTTCCGGGACAGAGCACGCGAGCGCGCGCGCACGTGGGGCCGGGGCGGAGAGTAGTGAGCGTCGGGCTGCGGGTGAGTTGGGGAAGGGGCTTGGGGAAGTGGATGTAAGACGGAGCGTCTGAGGCGGTGTGGTCCGTCCAAATTTGGCGCCCAGCGAAGCTCACGGAGCCCTTCGTGCCGAGACGGAATGGGGGCTCATCCACAGACCTCCAGAGAAGGAAGGGGCGGCGAAGACATGCGAGCGCTTCAGACGCTCTCTTAGCCTGGCCAGGCTGGGCCGGGCCAGCCTGCTGTGCCTGAGAGTTCCGTACCTTGAACCGAGGGAACGAGTGGCGAACCAGACCCAACGCCTTACCCTCGCCGTGTTTGTTGGCAGCTAGGGGGGAGAAGTAGTAGTGACAAGATCCCAGAGTAAGTCATAAGTCGTATCGCTCGCTCCCTTCCCTGAGAAACTCGAGAGTCTATCTTCCCCCAACGGTCACAGCTTTAGTTTGGGTCTGTGATTTGCAAACTTTAGCCAGCCTTAGAGTTGGGAAGACGTGCTTGCTGAAATGCAGATTCCCTGTTTCCCCGCCCCTCTTCTCCAAAGATTGGGATTCTGGAGCTCCTAGGATGTTGTGAAGTGCCATCGAGTCAGTTCCGAGCCATAGAGGCCCTGTCTGTATAGGGTTTCCGGAGGAGCGGCTGGTGAGCTTGAACGGCCGACCTGTGATTCAGTGCGACCTTGCAATCCAGCGCATTAACCCTCAGCGCCACACCAGGACTCCGAAATAGGACCCCGCCCCCAAAAATCATTTTTAACCATTTTCCAGGTAATTTTGATGCAGGAGTTCTGCGAGCCTCACATTGAGAGACTCACCTTGAGAGAACTGTCAGCGTTTCTTGCTGCCTCTGTCTTTAGTGACTTCGATCTGAAGTGATTCGCCATTCTGGCTTTCTGTGAGCCGACTGGTCAGCTTTATAAGCTATGTGTTTTCCTTTTTCACGTGTGGGCTCCCAGTTAGAGAAGGTGGTTATGTTTTTTTGCTTTAAGGTCAAGTACTAGAGTCTCTCCTGGACCATTTTCTTCAGGCAGGTGACAGGATTGTTGAATTTGGGTGGTACTCTGTGTTTTGGTCTTTGCTGAAGCATCCTTATTTTCAAGCCCTCTTTAGTTTGTAGGCTCTTGTGTGAGGTATGAAACCATCATTAATTAGATCGTTACAAATGAGCCTCAGTGAGATACAGTCAAATCGTTCCATCCAGAATGATGATGACATATTGCTGTAGAAGTTTAATAATGACTTCTTTTACACTCTCTCCTAGGAATGGGTGAATTTAGGGTCCATCGAGTTCGTTTCTTTAATTATGTCCCATCAGGGATCCGTTGTGTGGCTTACAATAACCAGTCAAACAAATTGGCTGTTTCACGAATAGATGGCACTGTGGAAATTTATAACTTGTCAGCAAACTACTTTCAGGAGAAGGTAAGTCATTCAGGAGGCTGATTTTGGTATTTCTGATGTTATTTTTCCTTCACTTAAGCTTAAATCTGCAAAACTTTTATGCATTCAAAAATATCAAAAGAACTAGACTCCCCCTAACTCTTCTGAAATCATTTAGAACTACATAAGTCCTGTGACAAATAGAAGCTCTTGTATCAGATTGTCTGTGTAATGCTGCTCCTTGGAAACCCTATACAGGGTCGCTGTGGGTCGGAACCGACTTGATGGCACTTAACAACAACAATGTTGATTAGAAAAGAGCCTTGGGAGCATAGTGGATCATGAGCTAGACTACTAATCACAAGGTCAGCAGTTCGAATCTCCCAGTTACTTTGTGGAAGAAAGATAATGACTTTCTGCTTCCATAAAGCTTTACAGCTTCGAAAACCCTTTATAGGGTTGCTGTGACTCGACAGCACACAACCACCACCACTACCCATGTTGTGTCTCGCTGTCATTTGGAAAATGAGGTTTGCTGGATCTGTTAGACTCAACAAGGAAACAGTCCCCACCATTGCTTTCTATCAGTGTCGGCACCTTTGCAGCTTTGGTGAGGAAGCAGTCTATGCTGGACTGCAACATCTTAATAGCAACCCGTTTGACCATGTAATGGCAGGAAGATGGATTCCTAAGTACATCTGTCTGAGAGAATGTGGACTTGCATTTGGGAGTAAAGAATATTTAAAATTAGATACAACACACTTTGGTGTTGGCAGTGTGCCATCAAGTTGGTTCTGACTCACAGTGAACCTGTATAGGATTTCTGAGGCTATAAATCTTTACTGGAGCAAAAAGCTTCATCTTTCTCCCACAGAGCAACTGGTGGATTCAGATCTGCTGCCCTTTCGGTTAACAGACCAATGTGTAACACATAGTGCCAACAAGAGCTCCTAAAACACCCTTTGGATGTTTCCAAAAGGGATGTTACAATAACACTTTACTTTGCAAAAGCACTTCAAGCATAGCATTTAATTCAAATTATATTTGCTGAATACCTTGTATGTCCCTAACAGCCTGCTACTTGATACTCTATAAATGTTTCTAAATAAATCAGTGATGTGTTAAGTGCTGTCAAGTTGGTTTAGATTCAGCGACCCATACAAAGTTTCCAAGGATCTGCTGGTGGGTTTGAACTGCCGACCTTGTGGTTCACAGTCCATTGCTGATCCTACAGTGCCTCATGGGCATTATTAAGACAAATGTCAAGGCTCAAACCCAGCAGGGGGAAAGATGAGTACATAATTTCCCAAATACTGTGATATATGCCATCATACAGCTCTGATGGAGAGGTGCCTCACTCAGACAAGTGGGTTTAGGAAACCTGGAAAGAGGTGATTTACTGAGCTTACCTTTAAAGATTTATTTTAATAGGAGCTTGAATGAAAATCTGGTTGAGATGCATTAGTTTGTTTCCAGTTTGTAAATATCTTTATAAAGGTTTGATTGGTACATGATAAGCTGCATACATAAAGTGTGCAAATTGTTATTTGGACATACACACACATACCCCAGTGAAACCGTCACCCAATCAAGATAGATGCCTTGATTTTTACAGCATCAAACTAAACTTGGATACAAACGAATGATTCTGCAAAAAAATTTTGCAGAGTAAGTCCTAATAAATAACAAAATCACCTTAGTTGTTGTTAAGTGCCATTGAGTCAGTTCCAACTCATAGGGACCCTTTATAGGGTTTCTGAGGAGTGGCTGATAGGTTTGAACTGCGAAACTGGTTTATCCTATAGCACCACACCATAAAATGACCTTTATAAAACTAAAATTTGAACCTGATAAAAATGAAAGTCAGTAGATAACGTCATCTCTGATCGTACAAAACTCCACACTTAACTTCTAGGAAAGTATATTAAGTGTCACCATGCTGTCTGTGATCATGCCGTAATGCTAGCTAAGGAATTCATTGGTGGATTGAGAAGTGATGCTGTTTCTTTAGTTTTTCCCAGGTCATGAGTCTCGGACTACAGAAGCTCTGTGCTGGGCAAAAGGACAGCGACTCTTCAGTGGTGGACTCAATGGAGAAATTATCGAGTATGACCTCCAGGCATTAAACATCAAGTATTCAATGGATGCCTTCGGAGGACCCATATGGAGCATGACTGCTAGCCCCAGTGGCTCTCAACTTTTGGTTAGTAAGCAACTGTTCAAACTGAGACTTCTCTTGTGCTCACTCAAACACTTGTCCCTGTCTGTACTGGAGCCCAGCAGCCCGACCTACAAGATTGGAGTTGATATTGGGGATTCAAAAGCCCTTGTCCTTTCCCATCCTCCTGGCTCTTACTTTGGACCTTGGTTCATTCATCTGTGAAATGAGAGGATTCATTTGGATCAGTTTCACAAACGGTTCTTTGGAATTGAGAGATGTCTTGTTGTGTGCCATTAAGTCTGTGCACAACTGAACAAACTACTGCCTGGTTCTGTGCCATCTTTATGTTTGAGCCCATGGTTGCTGCTGCTGTTTGAATTGAAAGATGTTCGGGCTGTCTTTTGGTATATTTCATGCTGATAAAGTTTGTTTCAGGTGTTGTTAAGTACTGTTGAGTTGATTCTGGCCAATAGCGACCCTGTATAGGTTTCTGAGGAGCAGGTGGTGAACTTGAACCACCGACCTTTGCTGTCTGGTGCATTAACCCACAGCACCATACCAGGACTCCCTTTTCAGATGTACTGCACGCTAAATCCTTCTGTCAGTTCACAATGCTCATTTATCGTTGTTGTTGTTAGGTGCCATTGAGTCGGCACCAACTCATAACGACGTTATGCACAACGAAACAATGTCCGATCCTGGTCCAACCTCACTATTGTTACCACACTTGAGTCCATCAGTGCTGCCACCTGGCCAATCCATCTCTTTGGGGGTCTTCCTCTTTTTCTCTGACCCTCCATCTCACCAAACATGGTCCCTCCTGACAATATGTCCAAAGTATGAGAGACGGAGTTTGGCCATCTTGGCCTCTAAGGAGCACTCTGGCTGCACTTCTTCCAAAACAGATCTCTTGGTTCTTTTGGCAGTCCATGGCAC